AAGAAAAACACTTGGCTTTGCTACAAAAGCCTTTGAAAACAATACAAGAAGAATCAGAGAACAAATTCAAAAGGCAATAAATGTCTGCCAATAAATGTCTGCAGCAATGGTGTCAACACCCGGTCTGAAGGAAACTTTATTAGACATCAAGACGACTACTGTTGGAGAGTCAATGCAACAACAAAGGGAATGAAATGAACCCGGGGCTAGTTTCTGCAGTGTCCACCTCATGGCTTGAAGAATGGCCTTTTTTTTATTTGAAGCAAAGTCTCCCTGCCCAGACCAGCGTTGCACTTCATCATCATCCACTTTCACCAACCAGACCCAAGGTAGAAGTCTGGGCACGGACATATAGCAATACCTGTCCTACCCTACTAGAACAAATTCTACTTGATGAAGTGTAACGCCCCGATCAATTTTATAATATTAAAACAATTTCACTGCTCGACTTTTAAAGTGAAAATTGGAAATTTTAGAATTTCCGAGATATATAGTAAAATGCTCATATATAGACATAAAGTTCAAAGTAGTATTCGGTTATTTTATTCGAAATAGTTTCATTTGTGCCGAACCCTAGTTCTCGAGTCTTAGCCGTGTCGACTCCAAGGTTCACTCAATTCATGTCTAAGCATTGGCATAAATTTTTCTAAGTGTTGGAGTAGTAATTTTGAGCCTTTGAAAACAAGCCTAGGAATCACCGAGCCCGCACCATGCACTCGCGCATAGCCGTGCGCGTGACCTCGGTCGCGCACCCGAGGACCGAGCCGAGCCTCGAGGCATGCCAAATGCTTAGTTGAGTGTTAGGATTATTCTTGAAATTTTTCTAAGTCCCAATCCTCCCATAGACAAGTATTCTACTCGGCCCAAGCAAGAAAGACCCGCAGCTCAAGTTCCACCGCGACGGCCCGTGCCGCACAGTAGGGCCGCGCCCGAGCCCAGCGCCCAGGCCCGTGCCACCCACCTTCCGAGCCCAATGCCGAGAGCTCCAGTCCACTTCTCTTGGGCCTAATTTCATGCAAGGGAGACCAGATGAGTAAGGGATATTTTGAGCCCAATTGACCTTTGTCAAAGTCAACCATTCTTAGTCTTGAGTTAGTGCATGAATTAGTTATTATTTTAGTCCTAGGATGGAGAAAATGTCCCCTATTCCCTACACCCAAGACCAGACAACTTACCTCAGCTATTGTGCCTTAAAGAGCCCCCAAAAACCGTGCAAACTCAGGTGAGACAAGTCCAAGACATCCCCTAAGACCTATGCACATCGGTGAGGCCAAATGTCCCTCATTATGTCCCCATATTTGTCTCCTTAACAAAGTCTTGTACCCTCCACCCTTACCCCTTTAAAACACCATTCCTCAGATCATTTTAAGCTCTTTCACAAACTGAAGCTCGAGCAAACACTTAGGAAAAATTAGAGAAAACCGAGAAGACCTCCTCCTAGCCACTGCCGCGTGCGTGCCCACCCGAGTGGAGTAGGAGGCGAGGTCCAGCCATCTCTAGCCATATTCCACTGAGGCTCAACCACTTTAGAGTGTTCCTCACATTTTTATAAGATCACTCATCCATCCAATCTTAGCCAAATTCGCCCCGAGTCAAGTCCTAGCCCCAGAGCCGCACCTAAGCCCGAGTTCAAGCCCTAGCAATCATTTTCCATTTTTGGTGAAGCCTAAGGAGAGTCGAGCCTCCTACCGCTACTTCAGTTTCAAGCACTTGCGTCAGATTTTGAGTATACCAGGTGGGAGCCTTTACAGGGCATTACGTTGCGCATTTCAATTATCCTGTATAAGGTCAGTAGGTAAGTTAAGTACCCAAACGGTCGAAGTATCTTGCTCGTGGTCCAGTTAGTTCTTCCAGGTGAGAGGCCGACCTAAGGGCCTTCCTATTCCACCTGGTACCCGGCTAAGGCCAAGGCCTTCAGCGTCAGGGTGGTGTGCACACGAGCGGCCGAAGTAAGGGCCGATAAGGGTCTTTGAGAACACAGATATAAGAATAAGTTTTCAGTTCAGTTCTTATATATTGAAGCCATGATCTAGTGTATTATTGATGCTGTCTTGTTCAGTACTGGTCTTACGGAGATGTGGTGGTCATGTACTGGATTCTACATCATCTATAATATCTGTACCATGTCTGAGGTATGTTCGAGATATTAAGTTTATCCCAAGGTTTGGCGGCCGAGGGCCTTAATCTTCTCCCGGTACCCTGTAGAGGCCGTGGGCCTCATTTACGGGTTGTTCACACGAGCGGCCGAGAGCCGAGGGTCGACGGACCAAAGTTTAAGAAAAGAAAGAAAAGAAAAGATAGAGTAAGTTCAACTCTTATATATTGATGTTCATGATATGTTATTATTTATGCTGTTTTATTCAGTACTGGTCTTGCGGAGCATAGTGGTTTGCTCACGCCCCCATTGTGTTTTTCAGGTGATGGAGTCCAGTGGGCCGGGTGAGCAAGTGTGGCAAGTGTGGTGATGAGCCTAGGACATTTTTACCATCATTTTATGTCAAATTATTCATGAACCAGTTTATGTATAAGTTTGTATGATTGTATATTCAGATTTTAAGCTTCCGCTAAGTTTCAATGCGAGACAGACGGACTGCATGTATAATTCCATTAAAACAATTTTATAATATTAAAACAATTTTATAATGTTTGAAACAATTTTTACCATCCTTAAGGAGGATAGGTTGTAACGCCCCGATCAATTTTATAATAATAAAACAATTTCACTGCTCGACTTTTAAAGTGAAAATTGGAAATCTTAGAATTTTCGAGATATATAGTAAAATGCTCATATATAGACATAAAGTTCAAAGTAGTATTCGGTTATTTTATTCGAAATAGTTTCATTTGTGCCGAACCCTAGTTCTCGAGTCTTAGCCGTGTCGACTCCAAGGTTCACTCAATTCATGTCTAAGCATTGGCATAAATTTTTCTAAGTGTTGGAGTAGTAATTTTGAGCCTTTGAAAACAAGCCTAGGAATCACCGAGCCCGCACCATGCACTTGCGCATAGCCGTGCGCGTGACCTCGGTCGCGCACCCGAGGACCGAGCCGAGCCTCGAGGCATGCCAAATGCTTAGTTGAGTGTTAGGACTATTCTTGAAATTTTTCTGAGTCCCAATCCTCCCATAGACAAGTATTCTACTCGGCCCAAGCAAGAAAGACCCGCAGCTCAAGTTCCCCCGCGTCGGCCCATGCCGCTCAGTAGGGCCGCGCCCGAGCCCAGCACCCAGGCCCGTGCCAGCCACCTTCCGAGCCCAATGCCGAGAGCTCCAGCCCACTTCTCTCGGGCCCAATTTCATGCAAGGGAGACCAGATGAGTAGGGGATATTTTGAGCCCAATTGACCCTAGTCAAAGTCAACCATTCTTACTCTTGAGTTAGTGCATGAATTAGTTATTATTTTATTCCTAGGATGGAGAAAATGTCCCCTATTCCCTACACCCAAGACCAGACCACTTACCTTAGCTATTGTGCCTTAAAGAGCCCCCAAAAACCGTGCAAACTCAGGTGAGACAAGTCCAAGACATCCCTTAAGACCTATGCACATCGGTGAGGGCAAATGTCCCCCATTATGTCCCCATATTTGTCTCCTTAACAAAGTCTTGTACCCTCCACCCTTACCCTTTTAAAACACCATTCCTCAGATCATTTTAAGCCCTTTCACAAACTATAGCTCGAGCAAACAGTTAGGAAAAATCAGAGAAAACCGAGAAGACCCCCTCCTAGCCACTGCCGCGTGCGTGCCCACCCGGGTAGAGTAGGAGCCGAGGTCCAGCCATCTCTAGCCATATTCCACTGAGGCTCAACCACTTTAGAGTGTTCCTCACATTTTTATAAGACCACTCATCCATCCAAGCTCAGCCAAATTCGCCCCGAGTCAACTCCTAGCCCCAAAGCCGCACCTACGCCTGAGTTCAAGCCCTAGCAACCATTTTCCATTTTTGGTGAAGCCTAAGGAGAGTTGGGCCTCCGACCGCTACTTCAGTTTCAAGAACTTGCGTCAGATTTTGAGTATACCAGGTGGGAGCCTTTACAGGGCATTACGTTGCGCATTTCAATTATCCTGTATAAGGTTAGTAAGTAAGTTAATTACCCAAATGGTCGAAGTATCCTGTTCGTGGTCCAGTTAGTTCTTCTAGGTGAGAGGCCGACCTAAGGGCCTTCCTATTCCACCTGGTACCCGGCTAAGGCCAAGGCCTTCAGTGTCAGGGTGGTGTGCACACGAGCGGCCGAAGTAAGGGCCGATAAGGGTCTTTGAGACCACCGATATAAGAATAAGTTTTCAGTTCAGTTCTTATATATTGAAGCCATGATCTAGTGTATTATTGATGCTGTCTTGTTCAGTACTGGTCTTACGGAGATGTGGGGGTCATGTACTGGATTCTATATCATCTATAATATATGTACCATGTCTGAGGTATGTTTGAGATATTAAGTTTCTGCTAGGGTTTGACGGCCGAGGGCCTTAATCTTCCCCCTGGTACTCGGTAGAGGCCGAGGGCCTCATTTACGGGTTGTGCACACGAGCGGCCGAGGGCCGAGGGTCAACGAACCAATGTTTAAGAAAAGAAAGAAAAGAAACGAAAGATTAAGTTCAGCTCTTATATATTGATGTTCATGATATGTTATTATTTATGCTGTTTTATTCAGTACTGGTCTTGCGGAGCATAGTGGTTTGCTCACGCCCCCATTGTGTTTTTCAGGTGATGGAGTCCAGCGGGCCTGGTGAGCAAGTGTGGCAAGTGTGGTCATGAGCCGAGGACATTTTTACCATCATTTTATGTCCCATTATTCATGAACCAGTTTATGTATAAGTTTGTATGATTGTATATTCAGATTTTAATCTACCGTTAATTTTCAGTGCGAGACAGATGGACTGCATGTATAATTCCATTATCGCCGTAGTGGCTCGTTTGGTTGCATGTCTTATTTATGTTCGAGATAGTAAGTTAAGAAAGTTTTCGTAGCATCCCGCAATTAAGAAAGTATTTTCGAAAATAAACTCACACGATATTTCGAAAATAAAATCGAAAAATTAACTCTGACTTTTAAAAGTCAAAGCTAGTCAAGGCGGGGTGTTACAGCTTAGTATCAGAGCACCTAGTGTTCTGGATACCTTAAAAAGTTTTAGAAAAGCATGACCACGCCTAGTGTAAATCGAAAAAATTTACACTCGCAATTAAAATCATTTTAATCAGCCTACCACTAAGGTCTCCAAAATAAACTCCACACTTAGAAAATTTAGCTATTGACATTAAAGTCGTCTTAATCACTCGATCTGTCACTGAGGTCTCTCAAAAGTGACTCAACACTTCGAAAAAAATTGCAATTGTAAGAAAAAATCATTTCAATCGACCTTTTACTGAGGACTCCCTAATTAACGTTATACTTAGTAAAAGTTTGCAGTTTTTGACAATTTGCAGTGGCTATCCAGATACTCTGAGGAGAATGTGGAAGATATCCTGGCAGCTTCTCATCACAAGCAGAGTAAAAAACTTTGTTTGGAGGTGCTAGAATAACTTCCTCAGCTCCAAAGAAAACCTAAAAACTAGAGGTGTTCTTACTGATCAGAGATGTGAAGTTTGTGGGGAAGCAGAAGAAAATTTATCTTACATACTATTTCATTGTCATAGAGCTGCAATGTGCTGGAAACTCTTAGGCCTGCATTGGAATTCATTTTATAACAATAATGTCTCTTTTAAGAGCTGGTGGATGGAGCTTTGCAATATAAAAGAAGATCAATGCAGGACTGAGAGAATGTGCCTCTCTGCTCTTTTAATTTGGAATTTGTGGAAAAGTAGGAATGCTTGGGTTTGTAGCAAGATATACTGGCAAGAGAAGGAAATTGTGGAAAAAACTTATTCAGACTGTCTTGAACTTTTCAATGTTGCTGATGGAAGTGATCAGTTGGTGAAATACAATTTCTCTTCAACTTAGAACCCCAACAACCATTTTTCCAGGAAGGTAAGGCAAAAGAGTCTATTTGTCAGTGCCTTGGGTTCATTGGGAGGCTGTTTTGAAGCTTTGTGCAGAGCTAAAGATGATATGGAAAAGCATTGCTGGAGGAAGCCAGTGTTCAAGCTAATAATGAGCAAGAAGCAATGATTCATGCCATCGGATGGAGCCTGGACATAGCAGTCTCCCTGAACTAGACAGAATTCACATGCTACCTCAAAGATGCAGCCCTGGTCGCTCTAATGCAAGAAAAGAAAGTGTTCTGCCCATCCATGGCAGATCATTTGTCTCAAATTTTTAACTCCATATCTTTTAATCTGAACTTTTCTTTTGCCTTTGATGTGGGTTAGTGTTATGTTAGTTGTTTTGTTTTATGTTGTGCAATTTCTTGTTGCTCTTTTTCTTGTTTTATTGTATTTGTGGTTTGGGTTGCACAGGTTGCTTCCCTTTGGGCTTCTTCTTTGTATATGCTGATTATGTTAGGACCCTCCTCGGTCATTTGATCGTTCAATTGTAAAAACGCTTTTTTGAGTTTTATCTAGTTCAAAGTTTGGAAAAAAAAAAAAGACAATAAAGTCATTTTAGTTACTCGACCTGCCACTAAGGTCGCCGAAGTTTGAATTTTGAAACATGACCGTCATGTTAGCTTCGATTGAAATGTAATGTCACTGTCCTTCTATCTTCTTGCGAGGTATTTTCGATAAATGATTCACCAGCTCGAGGATCTCCGTTCTTCTGGATATCAGCCACCAAGGCTTCTAAACTTGCTATCTGCGTATGAGGCTGTTCGAACAAGCAATTAACCAGTTTGAAAGCCTTTGTCATGTTTGGTCTATCTCTAGATTCCAACACTTGTCCGACCTTCGTCTAAGGTGATTCGAACAAACGACCAGCCAGCTCGACACTCTTAGTCATGATCCGACTTGTCTACGAGTGAATAAATGATCGTCAGCCCGAAGACGTTAGTGCCTTATAGGCTCCAATCAATCATCTTCATCAATCGTCAAACGGAAATCGAAGTAGAGAAATGGGGACACGTGAGTCATAACGTTCGAAATTCCTAGTTACAGCCGGAAAACCTTCGTATCTTCCCCCAAATTCCCAAACCCTAATTCTTACCCTCACCTTCTCACTCACAAACGGACGGCGGTGAACGTGAAAAATATGGCAGCAACAATCGGAGACCAGGATAAGGTGTTAGCCACCGCGCAGCGGATCGTGAAGTCTCTCGGAAATACCTCCGACGCCGACGACATGTTGTTGATCCTCTCCGCCTTCGACAACCGCCTCTCCGCCCTCTCTTCCTTTGTCTCCTCCGATGAGAATCCCTCTTCTGCGGAGGCACCGGCGGCATCTAACCAATCGTCCACCTCCGCCGATCCCCGATTCGTCGAGGCTGAGCGAATTATTTTGAACGACACCGATTCATCGCCTTTCTCTGATAATTACTTGGCCGCGATTGATGATATCATTCAATTGACAGAGGGATTGAACCTTGGTTCAGCTGACGCTGGCGATGACGTCATTGACCGCGCCGAGAATGCTCTCCAACTGGCTATGTCCCGGTTGGAGGATGAATTTCGCCAAATATTGATCCAGAACACCTTATCTCTTGACCCAGACCGCCTCCACCGCTCCTCTCTTTCTTCATCTGCTGCTGCTATTGCAATTGCCGCAACTGAGTTTTTCAACGATGATTCAAACTTGAGCTTTGATGATGTCAGCAGCGCAAGGTACAGCAACCACAGCCATGGTAGGGGTGTTAGCTTTGGGATAGATGAAATGTCCCTTGAACTGATCCACCCTGATGCGGTGCTTGAACTCACAGAGATTGCAGACCGTATGATCCGATCTGGGTATGAGAAAGAATGCTTCCAAGTGTATTCTAGTGTCCGTCGTGATGTTCTGGATGAGTGTTTGACGATTCTTGGGGTGGAAAAACTGAGCATTGAGGAAGTGCAGAGGATTGAGTGGCGGTCCTTGGATGATAAGATGAAGAAATGGATTCAGGCCGTGAAATTAGTCGTTCGGGGCCTTCTGTCCAGTGAGAAACAGTTGTGTGAGCAGATTTTCGCTGGCTCTGATCTGGTTGAAGATTGCTTTCTAGAAACATCAAAGGGTTGCATCATGCAGCTTTTGAATTTTGGGGAAGCGGTTGCAATTGGGAGGAGGTCGGCCGAGAAGTTGTTCAGGATTCTTGATATGTATGATGGGTTAGCTCAGGTTGTGCCAGATTTGCAATCGCTTTTTATTGACGAAGGTGCTCGTGACATGGTGCGTGAGGCCAAGGCAGTATTGGATGGTTTGGGTGAGGCTGCTATAGGGACTTTTGTCGAGTTTGAGAATGCAGTTCAGGGGGAAGCTTCGAGGAAGCCTGTACAGAATGGTGAGATTCACCCGCTTGCCCGATATGTTATGAATTATGCAAAGTTGCTGGTGGACTACTGTGATACCCTTAATACACTTTTGGAGAATGTGAAGGTTGAATCAGAGTACCTGGAGAGGAAGAATAGTGACGAGTCGGAGGTGGAAAGCATGTCATTTATTGCTCGGCGGTTGTTGGCCTTGATTACTTCTCTCGAGTCAAATATTGAAGAGAAATCGAGAATGTATGAGGATGCTGCTATGCATTATATATTCTTAATGAATAATATTCTATACATTGTGCAGAAAGTAAAGGACTCTGAGCTGCGAAACCTTTTAGGTGATAACTGGGTTAGAAAACGGAGGGGTTTGATCCGACAGCATGCGACCCAATATCTTAGGTCATCATGGAGCAAGGCTTTGGCATGTTTGAAGGATGAAGGGATTGGTGGGAGCTCAAGTAATGCTTCAAAGCTGGCTTTGAAGGAGAGATTTAAGAGTTTCAATGCTAGTTTTGAAGATATCTACCGTATTCAAACTGCTTGGAAGGTCCCAGATCCTCAGCTCCGTGAAGAACTTAGGATATCCATTTCAGAAAAAGTGATTCCAGCATACCGCTCGTTTATGGGAAGGTTTGGGAATAAGTTGGAAAGTGGGAGGCATGCTGGAAAATATATCAAATATACTCCAGAAGATTTGGAAAACTATTTATTGGATCTCTTTGAAGGATCACCCCTTATTCTGCACCATCTGAGAAGAAAAAATACATGAAATATGCAGAACTGTGTTTGCAGGTATGTTATTCCTCTTCATCGAGGAATAGTGCAGTTGACTTTGAGCTTGGTGATGTACACTTCCCTGTTGGTTGGATATGTTGAACGCATAGTTTTGTGAAAGTGTCAACACCAGTCATATACTGTAATAAATTTGTATATTGACCTTTTTATCTGTGTGGGAACTGAGTTTCTCTCATGTATTTATTTTCATGAATCACATTGGTATCCGAGCTGGACTGCATTTTTTCCCCCTTTTTCTCCGGATACTAGTTAGCTTCGTATGAATCAGCTATGATCTGGTGTAGGCTGTTTCTTTTTAGTGTTTGTATCCTGATATACGGGACCTCCTATACATCATAATTGTTCCTTGTCACTAGATTTTGAGATGTTAGATTCTCCGAGTAATAAATATCTATAACATGTGTGCTTGTTGTTGGCTTGTGCTGAAGAGATCAAAATCAAGTGGTTGGATTTATAGTTTGGTTGATTCAGATGATGGTAAATGTAATTTATTGGAAGTGATTGCCTGCTGCTGCACTATCCCAGGGGTTATTAAATGTTAAGGTATGTTAAAATGCATATTCTGGGCTTTCATTCTTCACATCAAGGAATTTACCAGTCTCATTTCTGAGTTCCTTTTGTCTCATCATGTTTTGGAACAGTATTACTTTAATTAGATAGTAATATTCATTGGCTGACCACAATCTCTTGTTTGAACAGATTCTGCTGACCTTGAGTTCACACAGTCACTTCTATGCGTATTTAGGATGTAACCATGTCCCAGACAGATCTTTCCAAAAAATTATCGAGGATAGTTGTGTGATTGGATATATCTAATTTTCGTACAGTTCATTCCCTAGAGATAATTTTGTTAGGAAATACCATAGTATTAGGATGCTTGGATACAAAATATCTCAAAAAAATTTCAATCATTTTTTTTACTCAACTTTAACTCAACTCTACTATCCCCAATATTATCAATATATTTATATAATGTAAATCAATCATTCTTACATATTTGATCAACTTTAGTTAACTATTCATCCACTCACATAATTTTAAAGAATTATCACTTCACATCATCTCTCTTCTATTTTTACATTAAATCACTTTAATTATTTTATTTTAAATATTATTTTAATATAAATTCAAAATCTCACTAACAACTAACTATACACAATTTTCAAAATTAACCAAACAAAACAAAAAAATTCTATATCCTCATATTGTCTCATCTTGATTTTATCAATTCAATTTTGTTACTACTCATTTTTTTACAAAATATTTTTCTAACTCGTATATTTCTAACAATCACTTATAATTTTTATAATTTTTTGTCTTACCAATATTGATTATAACATTAACATTGCCATGTTTCAGCCAATCATCATACTTTCCAAATAGTTCATTTTCTCCATACTCTTTTTATTCCCCTTACAAAGCACTTATCTAGTGATTAAGTGCTTGTTTGGGAACACTTTTGGACAAGTTAATTAGTTAAATGGATTTATGCAAACTGAACTTCTTCAAAAAGTCTTCATTCTTTACTTATATAAAATGGCCTTTTTGGAGAAACAAATCATTCATAAGTACATTCTTAATTCAACATCAAATATGAATATTTATTCAAATAGACTTTTGCATAGAAAAGTCCATTTGAGAAGTGTTTCCAAACAAGTTCGAAATTTGCCTATCCAGACGCTTTCTTGTTTGTAGTTGTCTGCTTCTAGCACATTGAAACTAACTTACGTTAATTTGTATCCATTTCACAAAATGCACACACTCGATGCCCAAAGCTCTGAATTTGTGCTTTAGTATACTTGAGTGCCACCGAAGTCAGATGGGCTAAGTTGTTGTAAGTGCAAAATTTTATAACTGTAGAAATGGTTTCAAGTATAAATTATTTTAAATTTTATTGAATTTATTGGATAAAGTAAGTTACTTTTGAAATTTTTGATTGAATTTGGTTGGAGTTAAATTTTGAGTATGCGGTTTAATAACATTTAAAATATAATAATTAAAATTGATATGGTTAAAAGTATAAAATAAGGAAAATATTGAAAAGAGTTTGGCTCATTTAAATTTGAGTGGGATTTTGAATTACAAAAAATATTTTATAAGTCATAACCGGATATTTTATATCCAATCAGACCCTAATTGATTTGTCATGGATCATCTGTGATTTCTACGTTGAAATAACATAACTGAATTTCACTCTTGTTTATTGATAGCAATCTTTATTGTTATTCTTTTAAGTCGTCCAATAGACAAAGTTTTTTTTATATCACAAGAATAAATTCTTGTGTGAGATAGTCTAACAATTTTTATGGGTCTACTTCCAGATCTGGAGTGAACCAATGGTTGTGAGCTCCGATCTGTCTGAATCGCCTCTGAACTGCTTCTAGACTGCTACAAACACATGCAAGAACCCAACGCCGGGAGAGGTCCCGGCGTCGGGCCTCCGACGCTCAAGTCAGTAAACAGAGGAGAGGAAGATGAAGCTCTGTGATGTAGAGCTGTGATGCATGTAGAAATGCATAGAATGTGGGGGAGAGAGCTGCTCTCAGAGAGCAGCAGCAGCAGAGAGATGGAAAGTGTATAGAATGAGTAGAGGTTAGGGTTTAGGGTTACCTCAGCCCCTTTGTATAGAGGGAACTACCTGCTTGAAGTACCCAAATTGCCCCGGTCGGTTTACCTGAAGTGTCCAAAATACCCTGGACGGTTCGCATTCCATCTACCTACTAGTCAGCTCAAGATTCTTTGTTATCCAATTACTACCTCTAGATCATGCTCTTGTAGTCACAGAGATGTCCAGTAGCGGAGAGGTCTAGTAGCAGAGACCTCTAGTCACGGAGACGTCTAGTAGAGAAGACGTCTAGTAGCGGAGACCTCTAGTCATGGAGATGTCTAGTAGAGAAGACGTCTAGTAGCGGAGAGGTCTAGTAGCGGAGACCTCTAGTCACGGAGACGTCTAGTAGAGAAGACATCTAGTAGCGGAGAGGTCTAGTAGCGGAGACCTCTAGTCACGGAGATGTCTAGTAGAGAAGACGTCTAGTAGCGGAGACCTCTAGTCACGGAAACGTCTAGTAGAGAAGACGTCTAGTAGGTCGAGATGACCTCTAGCAGGTCGAGACGAGTCTAGCAAGTCGAGATGACCTCTACCAGGTCTAGCAGGTCGAGATGACCTCTGGCAAGTCTAGTAGGGACGAGATGACCTCTCGCAAGTCTAGTAGGTCGAGATGACCTCTCGCAAGTCTAGTAGGTCGAGATGACCTCTTGCAAGTCTAGCAAGTCGAGATGACCTCTAGCAGGTCTAACAGGTCGAGATGAGTCTAGCAAGTCGAGATGACCTCTACTTATCTTCTTAGAGCAGGTCGACCTTCTCATACTCAGTCATAGAGAGCATGTCTACTTCCCATACTTAGTCGTGTGGAGCTTCTCATACTCAATCACAAAGAGTATGTCTACTTCTCATACTTAGTCATGTGGACCTTCTCATACTCAGTCATAGAGAGCATGTCTACTTCCCATACTTAGTCATGTGGAGCTTCTCATACTCAGTCACAGAGCGCATGTCTCCTTCCCATACTTAGTCGTGTGGAGCTTCTCATACTTAGTCACAGAGCGCATGTCTACTTCCCATACTTAGTCATGTGGACCTTCTCATACTCAGTCACCGAGACCTTCAAGTCTCGTCTAGACCTCCTCAAGTTGCTCTTCCTTTGGTTTCTCTTGGGCCTCTTCATACTTGACTCCGGTTCACAAGTATGGCTATATCATCTAGTCCCCCCCAAAACTTACTCTACTACGACTCGAGCTGTAGAGTAAGGCCAATAGTCTGGGAATTCTAGCATGTATCAGAATTTGCAGTATTTGAATGGACGTCTTCATCCCCTCGTAATCCTGTGTATTTTTTATTCGTAGATTTTTTTTATTCGAGTGCTCAACATTGCTAGTCTTTAGCATGTATTTTGTTTCCACATGTAGGATTAGTCAAAATTATTAGTTTCAATGGGCCCAACGCATTAGGCCCAACTCAAATGCTCAACACCACTTTTTTTTCTCCTCCTTTTCACGATTAGTCTTTATGTCGAGTTCTTTGATAATCGTCTCCAAGTTCACGCCGGTTCTTCCCTCAATTTCCTTCTCGACTTAACGATTTGCTTTCTAATTTTCTCGAGAATCTTCTCCAAGTTCGCTCTTCCTCGCGATTTTCTTCCCAGCTCATAACCTCTCATGTATTTCTAATTCGCGATTTGTTCATTGATTCGCAATTTTACTAGTCCCATTTTCAATCGATGTTCCTTGACGGGTTAGTTGCCATTTTCGCGGATCTTCCTTCACGAGCTAATAATCGATATTCTTCTCACCTCGCAATTTTCTCCTCAGACTTTCGCTATTTCTTTCACTCGCGATTCTCAAATCGATGATGCACTTTTGGGCATGTTAGTCGACCTGGGTAGAATGAATCGATTTTCCACTCCCAATTTCTCAAGTTCTCGATCTCGCCATTTCAATCACGAATTTTTCCCAGCTCGCTCTTGCGATTTCAATCACGGATTTCTTGTCGACTCGCGATTCTTCTTCCCTTAATCCTCGTTGCGCAGGTCGAGATTTGTTACTGCTCGCGATTCTCCCCCAATTTGTGATGGGTTAGTCGCGATTTGCTACTGCTCGTCATTTTCCCCAAATTCTCAATGTTTTGGTCGCGATCAGCGATGTCATTTTTCCCTAATTCGATAGTCCCGATGTGCCTTTTATGCCCTAGTCGCGTTTTTCCATGGAGATGCATCAAGATCTCGATTCAATCGATTTGCGATTTTCTCAATTTGCAAGGTGTTGGTCGCGATTTGTCGGTTGGGACTGCTGCCAGACTCGTGGTTGTTCTATTCGCGTTTTCTCCTGTTTCGAGATGTACTCGTCGCGATCTGCTTGTCGCGATGTGCTGGCCGCGAGTGTGTTCTCTTGGCCATGGGTTCGTCGCTATTTTCCACATTCCTGAGAGGTAAGCCGTCTCTGATGTGATGCTAGTCGAGGTCTGTTAATCGTGAGGCATCAACCACGACGTGCATTATTCGCGATTTCCCCGGATCTCTGAAAGGTTGGTTCCTTTTTCGG